TCAGGTATTGTTCTATTAACTCTGCCAACAATGTCACACGACAGATGCTGTTATTATCTGCCCCGCCGTACAGAGGGGTAAATAGAATCAGGACACCATGGCACTCAGAGTAAAGGGGCCCCTCACAGGCACTGACAGCAAAACTCACAGGCCTCGTTCTGCATGTGGCACCTGCCCCGGCCTCTGTGGGCATACCTGCTCCCCTGGGCCCTCCCACACCTCCCCACTTGAGTCAGCAATGATGCATTGTGGGATGAGGGTCCGCAGTTTCCTCTCCCTCCTGTAACCACTGCACCCATAAAGGGGGTGAGGCCTGATGCACTCACACCCCTCCTCAGGCTCCGCCACCCAGCCAGTGCACCCAGCACAGCCCCGCCCCGTCACCTATGCCTGGGGGCACCCTGCTCCCAACCCTCTCTTCCTTCCGGAGCATCTTGTCCCAACATGGGTATGCGCCCGACACCTCCTTGCTCCGAGCCCTCACTGGCTCCAATGTCCCCTAGACAGACATCAACAAGGCGTGGCCATATCGTTTATAATGACATTGGTCACCTTATGACAGGTGACGACAGGCCCACACCAAGGGCTCTTGTTCTTGACTCTCCGTCACAAATGGAGAAGCCCGCGGTGATGACAGCTGTTCCCACGGAAGGGACAGGCCTCCCTGGCCTTCGGGTGCCCACAGGGGCTCCCATTTGGGGTGGAAAGAGCTGCCTCGTTCTGCGAACTCTAGGCCACCTGCCCATCAGGCTCAAGCCAAAGGCTCCCGGTGAGGTCAGTGGAAGGGCAAGGACCCTGGATCAACTTCCCAGTGAATCACAGCCTTCAAGGCTGCCCCATCCCCAGCCCAGCTACCCCGGCCTCCTTTCAGCCCTGCCTGGGTAGCAGGTCCCTCCGACACTGGGCCTTTGCACAGGCTGCTTCTTTAGGTAAATCCTCTCCGCTTCTATCTTCAGCCGGTAAACATCTTGAGATCCCTGCTAAGTCATTTCTGCCCCAGTGACGCCCTCCCTGACCTCCCGCCCAGATCAGACGCCCTGTTAAACATTCTCATAGCCCCGTGGAACGCTCTGCCACGCTACTTACCTCAGTTTGCAAGTTTCCATTCAGCAGGTAGTCTCTAATGTCTGTCTGTCTGCTGGTCTGTCAGACCAGGAGGGCAGGAATCATACTCGGTTTTGCTCTCCTGCATATATGCCCTGCCCGTAGTAAATCCCCCATATAGTGTATTGACAGAGCAGGCAGACTCCTCAGGGCACCCCGCTCTGCTGGGAGTGTGCCCGATTCTTCGCGGACACAGCAGAAGGGAGAGGCCCAGCCTGGTGCTGGCCCTGTGGGAGCTACGTACGTGCAGTCGTCTTGCCGCTGTTATTGTTAGGATGGTGACGATGATGCCCTCTGAACCCAGAGACGGAGTGCAGAGCTCTGTGCCCTCCACTCCCCTCTGCCCCAGCCACCTCCGCCGTGGAGTGAATGAAGACCTGCAGAGTAGGGGCAATAAGCCCACGGAAATGCTGGGGGCCCTGGCCCAGCTGTGTGGGACCGGGGGTGCTTTGGGGTGCTGGCTCGGCAGCTGTCCTCTGTGGCCAGGTAAGGAGGGAGGAAGGGAGGGAAGCACCCAGTATTTCTGGGCCCTCCTACTGGGCCTGGCATCTTGCAAAGGATGCACACGGTTTGTTTTCTTTCCAGCTCGTATGGATGATGAAGAGGGACCCAGGGAGGTGACAGGACTGGCTAAGTTCACACAGCTTCTTTTTTTTAAATTGATTTTTTACAGAGAGGAAGGGAGAGGAATAGAGAGTTAGAAACATCGATGAGAAAGAATCATCAATCACCTGCCTCTTATACACCTCCTTCTGGGGATGCGCCCGCAACCAAGGCGCATCCCTTGACCGGAATCGAACCTGGGACCTTTCAGTCCGTAGGCCAACACTCTATCCACTGAGCCAAACCGGTCAGGGCTAAGGTATGACAGCTTCTGTGGTGGCGCTCAGACTCCAGTCCCCGTCTTGCTAATGCACAGACCATCTGGTGAGAGAACCAGAAAGCCAACCTCATTCCCTGAATGCCTGAAACTCTCTTCCAATTCCAAGTCTGTCCAACACCTCCCCCACCACCTTCAAACGTCAGTCAGGGACACGTCCTCCAGGAAGCCCACCTGGATTTCCCCGCCTATCTCCTGCCCTACAGTCTTCAGTTTCCTGTCACAGGTACACACACTGGCCAGGCCAGGATTCAAAATGGCTCACAAAGGGATTGTCTCAGACACGCTGCCGCCCTCCCGGGAAACACCCTGCAGCGGCTGCAGGAAGGGCTGTGGGCCAGGCCTGCCCAGGACTCAAAGCTAATCCGCGGCTGTTTAGGAAGCAGCTCCTCCATGACTCACCGTTTGGGCTTTTGTGACCAGGCCAGGAGCCGGGGCTGCCATGAGGTGCCCTCATTAAACCAGAAGGCGATGGTGAGCACAGAGGCGCCGCTGACTCACCGCAGCCAGGCCGCCAGCCAGGCTCACCTCTCCAGCCCCTGGGCCCCCAAGTCCACTCTAAGTGGGCGCAAGCCCGGCATGAAGAGTCCCAGGAGGAGCTTCTAGCACAAAGTGGGAGGGGCGGGAGGCGGGAGGCGGGGCCGCACCCAAACTTTACTGACTTTACCTTCATGTCAAAAACCTCTCATGCCAAACCTGTGCCAGGGATCCCAGCCTCCGCCTGCCTGCCCGCCCTCTCCCAGGGGACACCTCCCAGGACTCCATCCCAGCGGCGGCGGGGAGAGGGAATCGGGCTGGGACGCCTTCCTGCCCGGAGTGTGCATCCCGCCTCTCCTCTGAAAGGAGGTCAAGGCCAGTCAGCTCCCGAGAGGGTGCTCTGGCCTGCGGTCAGCTCAGAGCCGCAGCACGGCTTCTGTTGTGAGCCCTCTGGAAGGAAGAAAGGGAGGAAGGAAGGAAGGAAGGAAGGAAGGAAGGAAGGAAGGAAGGAAGGAAGGAAGGAAGGAAGGAAGGAAGGGAGATGCTGTGACCTCATTGGTATGGAGAAGTAGAATGCAGACTGGATGATAGTTATTCTTCTGATTTTATTTTTTAAAATATATTTTATTGATTTTGTACAGAGAGGAAGGGAGAGAGATAGCGAGTTAGAAACATCGACAAGAGAGAGTCATCGATCAGCTGCCTCTTGCACACCTCCTACTGGAGATGTGCCCACAACCAAGGTACATGCCCTTGACTGGAATCGAACCCAGGATCCTTCGGTCCCCAAGCCGACACTCTATCCATTGAGCCAAACCGGTTTCAGCCATTCTTCTGATTTTAAGGAAATGAGAACATTGTGAGACACCGAAAGGCATTGTGGGCGCTGGGCAATGTTGGCAATTAGTTAAGCCATTTGATCTGCCTGGCCAGATCCTGCTCACCATGGACGTAGTGTGTGCCTCAGTTTGCCTCTCTGTAGAGTGGGCATGAGGTAGCAGTCACCTCGCGGGGCTCTGAGAGCCCCTTGAGACCCACTGAGGGGGGGTGGACGTGCGGGCTGCATGTGAGCTTCGCACGAAGGAGGCAAGGGTGCGATGCCTTCTCTCCTCATGACAGGAAAACCAGGCTCTGAGCCAGGAAAGGACCTGCCAGCGGCCACCTAACAGCCCTGTGGCTCAGTGGTTAGGGTATCAGCCAGTGCACCAAAGGGTGGTGGGTTCGATTCATAGTCAAGGGCACATGCCTGGGTTGCAGGTCGGTCTCCGACTCCCATCAGGGCATGTGAAGGAGGCAGCTGGATTGGTGTCTTTCTCACATCAATGTTTTTCTCTCTCTCCCTCCCTCCCTCCCTTCTTCTTTCTTTTCCTCCTTTCCACTGTCTCTAAAAATTGATGGAGAAAATATCCTTGGGCGAGGATTAACAAACAAACAAAGCCACGCGATAAATGGTGGAATTGAGGCCAGGATGAAGCAGCTCCCAGGCCCCACACGCGAATGGAAGTGGTTGGTCAAGTTATCCCAGTCCCAGGCCAGGAAGAGGGAGGGCTGGCAGGAGGGAGCGTGTCTGGCCTCAGTTCTGATGAGTGGCCTGGAGGGAGGGGCAGCCGCTGGCAACCCAGGGCTGTGGGTGCAGGGCCCGTGGGATCTGGCATTTCTCACCAGGACAGAGCCTCCCTCTACTCTCCCCTCTGACCGGGCACAGCAGCTCGCCGGGGGGACAAGCTGGGCTGGGGGCCACAGTCTCCCCGACCCAGCCCCAGTGACAGCAGCAAGCTGGAATGCGGGTTCCGCTGACTCAGGCCCCCTCTCCGGCAGCCACACTGCCCAGCCCGGGGCTGGGGAACTTGGGGAGACAGGACTCACATCTGGGAGCGTTTTCACTGCTTGTCAGACCACAGGAGCCTCCCCAGGAAAGAACAGGACAGAAAACCCCGAAGCTCAGCCGGCCAGCTCCCAGGCTTCGGCTGTAGGTTCTCAGACAGAGGCCGCCCAGGCCCGGGGGTCCTGCGGGGGTCCAGCTGCTCCTGGCTTCCCTCTGGGCAGCAGGGAGGCCGGGGTGAGGTGCAGGCGGGTGGAAGGCCCGCTGGAGCAGCCAGTGCAGGGAGAAAGGACCGACGTGGCACTCCCAGGCCACGTGAGCGCCTCTCTGGGCCTCAGTTGCTGCATCAGTAAAACAGGGTGAGAAAAAATACCCAGAATGCAAAGCCCCTGGCACAGCCCCTGCCCGGAGCCCGAAGCCCGGAGCCCACAGCCCGCTGGTCAGGAGCCCCGGGGGGTTGGGGAAGGGGCTGAGATGGACAGGAGGGCCTGAGAACAGAGCCACAGCGGCCCCTCCCCCGCCTGGCCTGTCAGACCTGGAAGTGTGTTTGCTCACGGGGCACTCAGGGGTTAATGATGGGGAGTGGACAGGACCCGGGTATTTAACTATTGAGGGAGCGCCAGCCGCAGACCAGAGGGGCCCCTGCTCACCTCCTCCTTCTCCGCAGCCCAGCTCCCAGCTCCCGGCTCCCGGCCCTGCTCACCACCCTCCCCCACGATGAAGCCTCCCCCTCTTCTGGCCTTCCTGGGCCTCCTGGGTAAGTGACCTCTGTGACCTCCATCCTTCCCCTGACCCAGCCAGGAGCCCCAACCTCCCGGAGCCGGCCCTGGGAGGGTGTGGCGGGTCATCCTGAGGCCCTTGATCCAGCACTGACCATTGGGGAGCACTGACCAGTGGGAGGGAGGGATGCCTCGGAGATGGCCTGGGGGCAAGAGAAAAGAGCCGGCTGAGACCCCACGCAGCACACACGGGGCTCTGTCACCCACACTCCACCCCTCACGCTCGCTTCCATGGTGGAAGGATCTGGAGGAACTGGGGGAGGTCCAGGGGGTTAGGAAGCCCAGCTGGTGGCATCCGGGGGCACTTGGTGGGAACAGGGCGCATCTGGGGGCACAGGCCTGCCACCTGGGGGAGGAGCAGGACCCGGGAGACACTAGGGGAGCTGTGGGGTCATCCTGGGAGGTGGCAGAGGGGAGCGGAGGGGATTGGGTGCAGCGACACAAGGGAGGAGACCCAGGGGCCATGGCTGTCACGGAGCTATTATTACTGATTGGCGTGATGGATGTTGGGAGGGAGGGGCTGGGGACACGAGGCTAACTGGACAGCCAGAGAGCTGTGTGACTAGGATGGGAGGGGACCTCCGGGGACGCTCAGGGCCCCGCCCGCCCCGCAGTGGCCCTGGCCGGCGGGAACCTGGTCCAGTTCGGGGTGATGATTGAGAAGGTGACCGGGAAGTCCGCGCTGCAGTACAACGACTACGGCTGCTACTGCGGCATCGGCGGCTCGCACTGGCCGGTGGACCCCACGGACTGGTGAGCAGGAGGCCCGGGGGCGGGGGGGGGGGGGACCACCCGAGGGGCGGGGGCTGGGGGAGCATCCCTGGAGGAGGGAGGAGCCGAGCCATCCGGAAAGCGGGGCTGACAGCTCCTGGGAGCCCCCCAGCAGCCCCGTGACCCTTCCAGGTGCTGCCACGCCCACGACTGCTGCTACGGGCGCCTGCAGAAGCGGGGCTGCGAGCCCAAGCTGGAGCGGTACCTCTTCTCCGCCAGCAGGACCAACATCCTCTGCTGTGAGTGCCGGGGAGGGGCGGGGTCTCCCGCCACCACCACCGGGAGAGGCGTGCCCCCCCCACCTGCCCCGCCTGGCCAATCCGGAGAGCCCTGGCCTCCGGCGCTCCCCCACCCCCACCCAGAGGCCTCCTGCCCCAGCAGCTCGGAGGGGAGCCAGGGGCAGAGCTGAGCCAGGCCCCTGAGGAGCGGGACCCACACACCCTCCCCAGGCCTGGCGGCAGCTCTGGGTAAACCCAGGACAGAGCCTCAGGGACGGGCCCAGACAGAGAGCTGGGGATCTGATTGGGACAGCAGACCCCGTGCCCGAAGGCCACCTTCCCCTGGGGCTGCCAGGCTGGGCCCATGTGCTCAGCTCTGCCAGGTCCAAGGCCCACCTGGACCAGCTCCCTTTCCTCCGGTCCCCACCCTGAGAGGCAGCCCAAACCACGTCAGAGAGCGAGGGCTTCACACAGCCCAGCCCCTGGGCGCCCTGCTAACCCAAACCCAGCCATCTCCCAGCTGCAAAGCCGGGGCGGCCTGGAGGGAGGGCAGGTGCCGTGTGGGGTGCAGGGGGGCCACAGCAGACTCAGCTCAGACCCCGGGTTTGTGCTGGGGGAGGGCAGAGACAGGACCACGGCCGCCGGGGGCAGATCTGGCTGTTTCTTGCTCCTGCAGCCTTCTGCTCGGCGAGGCGGCTTTGTGAGGGAGTGAGCTCCCCATCCTGGGGTGCCTGCAAGGCCAGATGCCCCCGTCAGGGCTGTGCTGGGAGGTGTCAGGGGGGAACAGACACAGGCGTGGGGCTGGGCACGCCCCGGAGGCTGCTGCCTCCTCATCTATCAAATGGAGGTGGTCACGCTCACTCGCCCAGCTCCGGTCCAGCTCCTGCAAGAACCAGCCTACACAACGGGCTCAGCCCTAAAGCCCCTTCCAACTCAGTTTTGCTGAAATGGCAGCACGAAGAGTGGAGAGCGACCGCCGAGGGGGAAAGAGCGGACGTTCCTGAGCGGTGGGCGTATTGCTGGGACAGAGAGGAGCCAGAGATGCGGGTCAGACAGGGGAGGGAGCGAGGCTTAGAGCCCTGGGGCCTGGTACCAGCTCTGCCCACCTGGGTGTGGCACACACGTGGAGGGGGGTGGGTAAGGTAAATGTCAGAGAATCGTGCTCCGTCCACTCAGACACAAGCACAGACGGGGCCCAGCTTCAGGCCCCGCGGCCTCCAGTCTGGGCGCAGGCTGCCCTGGGATTGGGTGGCTGTCATTCGCAATCTTCCTCTCTGCTTGATGGCTGCAATCCACCGTCAGCTGAACTGCCTAGAATCCCCTGGCACCCCACCCCCGGCCTCTCCCGCCCCCCACCGCTCCCACAGAGAGTTAGTGGCCAGCTGCAGGTGGAAGTGGGCGGGGGAAGGGGAGGGTAGAGGTGCGAGCTGGGGGAGGAGGGACAAGCTGGCAGCCTCCCAGCGCCCTGGCCGGGCAGCCCTCCTGTATCCGCCCTCTCTCACCATCCCTGCGACACCCCCATGAGAATGAGCTTCCGGCAGGACAGGGTGAGAATGTGGGCCGGAGCGCGGGTCCCTGACTCGCCTTGTCCCCGCAGCCGGCAGAACCACCTGCCAGCAAGAGACCTGCGAGTGTGACAGGACGGCAGCGCTCTGCTTCCGCCAGAACCTGGACACCTACGACCGCAAATACGCCCACTACCCCAACAGGCTGTGCACAGGCCCCACCCCGCCCTGCTGAGGCCGCGCCCCTCCTCCCTGTGTCCTTCCGAGGCCCCGCCTCCCGCTGCTGCAGCCCCAGGCCTGGGGAACATTGGTACCAAAGGCCCTCCTTCTGGAACATTCCTTTCCTGCAACCCATCCCACCCTGAGGAAGCCCAGAGTGTGGCCTAGACCATCGCTGGCCTCCCAGGCCATGCACCCTTTAGGAAGAGACAGGCCCCAGAAGCTTCAGCGCCCAGAAGATTCTATAATCCACCCCTGGACTCTCAGTTCCCTCTTCTAACTGAATGCTTCCCATCCTATATAATAAAGAGGTAATATGCAAATTAACCCTCAGGCCCTCACAAGATGGCTGCCTACAACTCAACAACTGAACAAGCAGGCTGCATGGGGTGACCAGGCCAGCAGAAGGGTTAGTGAGGGATGACTAAACAACAGAATAGCAGGCTGCGTGGGGCAACTCGGCTGGTGGGGGGGTAGGGGGTGGTGGTCCAGAGGAGCAACCAAGCTGGCAGGTGGGGGCAGTTGGGGGCAACTAGGCCAGCAGAGGGGTCAGTTGGGGATGACCAGGCCAGCAGGCAGGGTAGTAAAAGGCGACCAGGCCACTGACGGAGTGGTGGTGATGGGGGGCTCTTAGGGGCAACTGGGCTGGTGCAGAGGTGCAGTTGGGAATGACCAAGCTTGTGGGGATGGGCAGTTGGAGGCGATTAGACTGGCAGGGGGAAGAGGGGGGCGAATAGGCCGGCAGCAGGGGGGCAGTTAAGAGTGACCAGGCCAGCATGGAGGGGTAAGTAGGAAGCGACCAGGCTGGTAGGGGGGGTCAGTTAGGAGCGATCAGATCAGCACGCAGAGGCAGTGAGGGGTGATCAGGCTGGCATGAAGGGGGGGGGGGGTGCAGTTAGGGATGACCAGGCAGGCAGGCAGGTGAGCGATTAGAAAGCAGCAGTCCAGGATTGTGAGAGGGATGGCCAACTGCCAGTTTAGGCCCAATCCCTGGGATCAGGCCTAAATCAGCTGTCAGACATTCCCCAAGGGATCCCGGATTGGAGACGGTGCAGACTGGGCTGAGAGGATCCCCAAACCCCCCCACACGAATTTTGTGCACCAAGCCTCTAGTAATTCTAATATTCTCAGATTCTATCTTTATAGAATTTGATTTCATTCACTCATTCATTCTTTTTTTGAGCACCACCCATGTGTGGGCAATGAGCTAAGTACTGGGAAGCAGCTGGAACAAACCAGTAAGGGTGGTCCCTGCATGCGATTCCAACATTCTGTCCTTTTGAAAACCCAATAGACCTGAGGGCTCTCACCCTGCAAGGAGGTGTAGCATTAGTGCCCTCTTGTGAACATTCTGAGGACAGCACCCTAATAAGGAATTAGCTACAACAGTGCCATCTTGTGGACATGGACATTAGGACAACTGACTAGTAAGTGGGTCAGTCACAATAGCGCACTCTGATGGACATTCTGAGGATAGCACCTTAGGAAGGGATTAGAGTTCTCTGGAGGCATTCTGAGAACAGTAAATTAGTAAGATATTATTATTAGTTACAATAACATTCTTTGGTGACATTTTCAGGACAGTATCCTAGTAAGGGGTTAGCTGCAATAATGCCCTCTTGTGGACATCCTGAGAATGGCACCCCAGTAAGGTATTAGCTTGCAATACTGCCCTTTTGTGGGCCTTCTAAGAATGGTACCCTAGTAATGAATTCTGGAAGTCTAAAAACCTATTCGTCAGAGAGGGCTCTCAAAGCCTTTGGCATTTACCAGGCACTGTTCTATGTAATTTTTTAAAATATATTTTTATTGACTTCAGAGAGGGAGAGGGAGAGAGAGATACAGAATCATTGATTGGCTGCCTCCTGCACATCCCCTACTGGAGATCAAGTATGCAATCCAGGCATGTGCTGTTGCTCTATCCACTGAGCCAAACCAGCTAGAGCAGTAATTTTTAAAAAATATATATTTTATTGATTTTTCACAGAGAGGAAGGGAGAAGGATAGAGAGCTAGAAACATCGATGAGAGAAATACATCGACCAGGGGCCTCCTGCACACCCCCTACCAGGGATGTGCCTGCAACCAAGGTACATGCCCTTGACCGGAATCGAACCTGGGACCCTTGAGTCCGCAGACCGACGCTCTATCCACTGAGCCAAACCGGTTTCGGCTAGAGCAATAATTTTTAATTAATTGAAAGAAAGGGAGAAAGGGAGGGAAGGAAACGGAGAGGGGAGGGCAGGGGAAGAAAGGGAGAAGAGGGGAGGAGAGGAGAGGAGAGGGGAGGGGAAGGTCAGACATAGGGACTACGTCAATGCTGGAGAAGGGACTGTGTTGCCTGATTGTTTCATATCTTGCCTCTCCAATTTTGATGACAAGACTGGTATTGGTTTTGCTTTTGTTCTCACTTAACCGCTAACAAAGCTATTAACGAAGTGCTCAGTTAAATAGCTTGCTTGGCATTCAGAGTTCGATTATGATTCCACGGACAATTGCCTGCTCCTTTGGGGTTCTCTGCAGTGTCGCTGCACGACAACGGAATGCTGTCTTAGAAGTTCACTCCTCCATAAGCTTTTCTACAAACTGTGTTCCTGGCTCCTTGCCGAATGCTGATGTGTCCAACGAGCAGGCACACCCCGATCATTCCACACCGTAAATGCTGTGACAGCTCAGACTGGCGTTTCAGAGCCAAGGGCTCTTCCCACCGTCCTCCATCCAGTCTCCATCCTGTCCACTGATGCCACCTTCGCCTTTTGGCAGCTTGACTTCCATCACGTCACTCCTCCGCCACTGAACCGTCGGTAGCTCCCCATTGTTGCCAAACCCTGGCAGTCAAGCTTGGTGCCATCTGCCTTTCAAGCCTTGTTTATCCAGCTATTTCTCGATGCTTCCCGCCATTCCAGAGCACACCCTCTGCTTTCCTGCCTTCACACCTCTGTCGAGTAGCTTCCTTCCACCTAAAGCTTCCCTGTTCACAGGCTCCCTCTCCCATGTTCAAGTCCACACGGGGTAGAACACATCTCCGATGCCGCCTTTCCCTAACGCTTTTCCACCAGGGGGATCCGCCCTCCTCTGAACAGCTGAGCAAGGTGTTCATCCCTCCACTGGTGCTGCTCGCCGGTTATCTGAGTTCCGGGGTTGGGTTCCTATACAATGAAGGCAGATTGCCCTGGGTTCAAACCTTTGTAAAATGATGACAGAATCACCAGCCTAAGGGTAGCTTTAAGGTTCAAATAAGATGATGTATTCAAAGTCCCTGGAGCATCTAGACTAGGTCACTTGACGTATCTTGCCTCCCCGGCTGTCTCCATCACACAGTAGATGCTAAATAAATTCTGTCCCTACTGATCACTGGAACTGTTTCAGGGAAGTGGCATCATGCATATGGTAAATAGTATGCTAATATTTTAATAGCCCTCTGGCCCGCTTTCTGTTCATTTATCTTAAGTGGACACACATTTGAAAGTCATTAACCCTCAGTGCCCTAAGCGGATGCCCCAGAGGCAGAGGCAAAACCGGCTGCTGGAGAGCGAGCGCACAGCAATTCTCCTGGAGGGCTGCTGCCTATGGCAGTGGCCAAGGTCACAGGCACCCGAGGGCCAGCTCCTGACAGAGACACAGAACACGCACTCACGATCTTTGGAATCCACGGAGCACATGACCAGCCTTTGTAGCTCAGCCTCTCTCCACATGAACTGCACAACCTTAGTCAATTCTGTCCTAAGCACGTGGGTCGGCCGGCTCTAGTTTTATTTATGCTGGTCTTTCTGTCCAAAATGACTTTGTCCCCATTTTCACATCCCATTCTCCTTCCATGCCCGGTCCAATGTCACGTCCTCCAACGAGCTCCTCTGAACTCACAGCTCTCCCCGCCCCTTATCCCCCATCAGCCCTTCTTCAGTGGCCTGTGTCTCCCCACTTTCACACAGGTCCAATGCCCAGCCATGAGGACCCTCGCACAGCACAGGTGCAGTCAATGCGGATGGGGCCTGGATGTCTGGGTGGGTGAACGAACTGCATAAAACCTGAGTCTCTTGAGATACCCAAGTCCCTCGGCCGCAGGGAGGTCCAGATCGCGCCTCTGGGGTGGAACGAGGCAGCGGCAGGACTTTTGCTCCTTTACAACCAGAAAAGCTCACCATGGCCCCAGTGCCCGCAGCGGGCAGCCAGAGCCACACTGGCGCAGGGCACCTACTATGGGGATTGCACCTCAAGGCACATGCACTTGTGTGCACTGGGGAAGGGCTCTGTGGTGTCCCTGTGACGTGCGAGCTCTACCCTGGATTCCCAGCTCGGCTTTCTCTAGGCACCAGGAGCGGTTACCAAGAGACAATCCCCCCGTGATGTCACCTTTGGCTTCATCAACTGCCACTCAGCCCAGAGGGAAGCGTGGTAATAAGTCTGATGTTCTGATTATTCCCGACGGGCCCGAGTACATCCCAGTCCTTAGACTTCCGCTCTCATCCACCACCTTTCCGGTCGCCCAGACCAGGCAGCAGGCCCCTCCACCACTACCCAACCTATCAGGGGGCCCTCAGCCCCAGCTGAACCCTAAACGGAGAATTAAGGAGGCCACAAAAGTAGTCTCAGGCAGGATGTTTCTAGAAGAACCTCAGGTTTACCGGGTCCGGAGTCTGGGCCCCATGGGCTCTGGAACCTGACAGCGGGCATGCCCCCAGGTCTCTGGGTCACGGGATGAGGTGAAACCCACACACACAAACAGGAGGAAGAACCTCCAGTTCTAGATACTCTGTATCATCGAGGTCACACGGAGCCCACTCGAAGGCTTCCTGATGCACAGAAACCAGAGGGAGCGCGTGGGTTGCGAGGCCAAGGCGAGGCCTGGTGAACTGTCTTGACCTCAGAGTGACCAGAGGCCTGGTGTGGGCTGGGCCCTGCTGGAGGTGCTGAGGATTCTCCTCCCTCTGCTTTTTTTTTTTAATATATATTTTATTGATTTTTCACAGAGAGTAAGAGAGGGATAGAGAGTTAGAAACATCGATGAGACAGAATC